ATGGTCCTACTTCTTGCCTTTTCTTAAGATTGCTAATCTTCCAAATGATTTTAGACAAACTGTAGATTCTTATAGCTCCTTCTTAGTGGAAAGAGAAAGCGGAATATTGTGGTCAATCATCTTCCCATCCCTAAGCTGGTGTTTATAGAGAGCGAGGAATAACCTTGTTTTTAACAAGTCTATTATCAAGGGCGGGATGAATTCGAATTGGCGAACGGAGAGGCGAAAAGGTGTCTTCATTGCGTAGGCGACAGCGCGGAACTCGAGGCGGTGTTTAGTCTCCATCTGTCATTGTAAAATCACTATCAAACCTGTGTCCCCTGCTCCTCAGCCCTTCCCTCCACCGTTTGCAGCCAGTAAGCCTCCAGCCCCACCGTTCTCCACCTTCCTTTCCACCAATAATCCACCCCCTTCCTCCCTCCCCAACCCCTCTAGTCCGCCTGCTTTCTCCTCCTTTGCGGACCTTTTCAAGAGTAGAGTTCTTTCTTCTACCCCCATTCCACCCTCTCATCGAGGGATTCTCCCTTTGCCGTCCTCTAAGCCGGAAGAAGGATGGACGGTGGTCTCTCGTAGAAAGTCCAGGAGCCCAAAGATAGTAGCACCTCGCAAACCTCTCAGGTGCTTTCTCTGTGGGGACCGATCCCATATGGCAAAAAACTGCTCCTTAAGTGATTTCAAGTGTTTTGCCTATAACAATATAGGGCACACTTCCATCTTTTGTCCTAACAGGCATAACCCCTCCCTCCAAAACATCTCACCCCTGTCTCCACCACCCCCTCCTCTGTTTGTCCCAAATATTACTCTCCCCCCTCGGTTGTTAGATCTATGGAGGACTATGCCAGATTCGGTTTCTTTAACCTCCTCGGTTGTTAGATCTATGGAGGAATATGCCAGTTTCGGTTTCTTTAACCTTCAAGTGGGTAACCCCTCATACGGCGAACTTATTGAAAATCTTGAGTTCCATCTTAAGGTTGACCGCTGAGTTTATGATGTTAGACAGATCTCCCCTTCATCCTTCATCATTCAATTCCCTGACAAAGAGACATTATCCAGAGCCTGCTCTAAGGAATTTTTCAATATGGGCACTTTTGGGGGTGTCTTCTCGCCCTGGTCTGAACAAAAGGGGCTCAAGTCTCTCCCTAAGTTTGTTTATATCTGGGTTGAAATCGTAGACCTCCCCCTCCACTTATGGGATTCAGAGTTTTTAAAAATCTTGCTAGAGAAAGTCGGGGAGGTGATTACTGTCTCGGATGACATTATCTTTAAGCAACACGCCAGGGATTGCAAAGTCCTTATCAGTGTTAAGGATGTCTCAAAGTTGCCTAGGGAGATCACCTACAGATATTCATCCCCGGATGGTATCCATCTTATGGAAGGCACTGCCCTGATAAGAATGATAGGTAAGCCGCTTTCTGCTAGTAAAGGGAAAATCAGAGAATACTTTGAAAGCTTCGTCCGCAGAGAAGGTGCTCCCTCTATATCTCCAAATGACTCTCCTATTTTCTCTAGCACAAAAGCTCAGACCTCGAAAGTTAATAAGCAAGCAGCAGTAGCAATATCTACCTCCTCCCCTCCTCAGGTCAAGGGGAAACAGGCGATGCTTGATCAAGAGGGCCCATCCAGGCCCCCTCCTCTCCAGGTTCAACTTTCCTCTGAGCAACCACCAGATCTCTCTTCTAACCTTATTCAAGTGGTCTTCCAAGGAATCCGTATCAGCATCACTAAAGATTCATGGGATATCCTTTCAGCCGCCTTCCCTCGGTATAAGGAAGCCCCTCCTCTACCATCTCCTCCAGCTCCGGCAGAGCCTCTGATTAGCAGCTCCTCTGACTCCTAAGATATGTCATCTTCCTCTAATCCGCCTCCTAGATTTGAGCATGTCAAGCTGAAGGGTAAAAAGAAATCCATCAGGAAGCAGCTGGCCCTACTCCCCCATAGAAAGCATCTAGCTATTATGAAGAAAAGCTTCCCTCCTGGAGGCTCCAAGGGTAACTCTTCATCCTCCACGTCTACTCAGCCTTTTAATTCCTCTTATTTGTAGAATTTAAAAGAAATTGCAGTTAACTGTGGTATTAAGGAGCCAATAGATTTCAAAGCTCTTCACGACATTCTGGAAGCAGACTCGCAAGAAGTGAGGGTAACCTAGGAGTTCATCTCTTAGCAGAAGTAGTTTGAGATTCCTTTTTATGAAGATTGGATCGTGGAACATGAGAGGGTTGAATAATCCTATCAAACGTAGACTAGTTAAGGAATGTATCTCTCTAGCGAAAGTCGATCTAATAGGTCTTCAGGAATCAAAACTTCACTCTCCAAAACAGCTCACTCTCAAAAGTCTAGGTAGCAATTCCATCTCCTCATGGGTTGCTTTAGATGCAGTTGAAACTAGGGGGGGATCTTAGTGGGCTGGAATGAATCCTCCTTATCTTGTCTTTCGTCCTCCATTAGGATCTTCTCAGTGTCTGCCACCTTTATTTATAAACCATCTAACTGGCATTTTGTCGCTACAATTGTATATGCTCCCCTTGAGAAAGATGACCGTGATATCTGTTGGTGGGAACTTTCCAGGATTAGATCCTCTCACTCTTTGCCTTGGGTGGTTTTTGGGGACTTCAACATGACTCTCAGTTCTGAAGAGAGGAGCGGTAGATCAGGTTCCATCAGAGATATTGCCACCTTTAAATCCTTGATTGATTCCATTAACCTTGTTGACCTCCCTCTAAGTGGCAGAAAGTTCACTTGGTCTAATCTCAGATCCTCCCCAGTTCTAGCTAGATTGGATAGATTCCTTATCTCCCCAGATTTTGAATCCCACTTCCCTCACCTCATCCAAATGGCCTTCCCAGCTTCATGTTCTGATCACTGCCCTATCATCCTAGATTCAGGTGTTCCTTTACCCTCCCCCCTTTTAGATTTGAGAAGTCATGGCTGTTATTCCCATCTTTCATCTCTTTCGTCTCTTCCAATTGGAACTCCTTTCTTTCTAATGATGGTAGGCAAGCTTCTTTTCTTCTTAAAATTAAACTCATTCGTAGAAGAATCAAATGGTGGAAAAGATCAGTTTTTGGCTCCATATCTAAGCATAAATCTTTAGCTTTAGCCTCCATTCATGATCTCAATATTCTAGAGGAAAGTAGAGTGTTATCAGACTCTGAATTCAACCTCAGGTCCCATCTCGAAGACCAGTTGTTTACTTTAGCTAGGGCTGAAGAAATTAACTGGAAACAGAGATCAAGAATTCAATGGCTCAAAGAAGGGGACAACAACACAGCTTTCTTCCATAGAACAACCTCTTTTCATAGAAGAAAAAAATTTCATCTCCCATCTCATCTCTAACAACTCTATTATCTCCTCCGAATCAGACATCAAGCAAGCTTTCTTCGAATACTTTTCAGATCTTTTCAAAGCCCCCAAAGACTCTTCGCTTAATATAGATTGGGCAGAATTATATCCTGCTCCGGCTCCCAATCTCTCCTCTCTTGATCCTGTCTTCACCCCATCAGAAATCAAGAGGGCAATTTTTGAGCTCCACCCAGATAAATCCCCTGGTCCTGATGGCCTTCCCATGTCTTTCTTCCAAACTTTCTGGAATGACCTGCATATGGATATCATTTCCTTCATCCAATCCCTTCACTCCAACGCTCATCAGTTGCACAATGTCAACTACTCCTTCATATGTCTAATCCCCAAAAAGGATGGGGCAGATTCTCCTAAAGACTTCAGACCTATCAGCCTCATTAATAGTTCTGTCAAAATCTTCTCAAAAGTTTTGGCTAACAGACTCAAACCCCTCCTATCTTCACTCATAGACTCATTCCAATCTGCTTTTCAGAGTGGCAAATCAACATTAGACTCCATTCTCCTCGCACACGAGATGATTAACCATTGTTCAACTGGTAAAAAAGAGATGTGTGCTATCAAAGTGGATTTTTTCAAAGCTTTTGACTGTGTCAATTGGAATTTCCTCTCCTCTCTTCTTTTAGCTAGAGGCTTCAGTCCATCTTGGTGTCAATGGATCCATTGCATCTTCTCTTCCTCCAAATCTGTAGTCCTAGTGAATGGATCCCCCTCAAAGTTCTTCCAATGTTACAGAGGTTTAAAGTAGGGAGACCCTCTCTCCCCTTTGCTTTTTCTTCTTATAGCTGATGTCCTATGTAAGATGATTCAAAACAGTGAAGCAGTAGGGGACCTCTCTGCTCTTAACCTTAGAGGGGACCTCAAAGCTATCAGGGCCATTCAGTTTGCTGATGACACTCTCCTTTTCTATAAAGCTTCCAACAATAACATCAGAGTCTCAAAAACATTCTCCTGATCTATGCTAATATCTCAGGCCTCAGAGTTAACTACCTTAAATCTCACCTCTTCTATCTGGGTAGAATCCCTAGCAAAGGAGCCCATCTAGCTTCCATCCTCAACTGCCCAGTTGGAACACTCCCTTTTATCTATCTTGGCCTTCCTCTTAAAAAAGGCTCTCTCTCCAGGAGAGATTGGCAACCTCTCTTAGACTCCTTCTCGAGGAAACTGGCTATATGAAAAAACAAATCGCTATCCATCGGAGGCAGATTAACTCTCATTAACTCGGTTTTATCTTCTATTCCCCTTTATTACATGTCCTTTTTCAAACTCCCTCGATGGGTCATCCATGCCATTGATAGGATTAGAAGAAACTTCCTTTGGGGAGGCAGTTCCCAACCTTCAAAAATCAAAAATCTTGTCAGATGGGATATTGTCTGTAAGGAAAAAAAGCAGAGGGGGGCTTGGGAGTTAAAAATCTGGATCTTTTTAACCAAGCTCTTCTGTCCAAGTGGATATGGAAAATCCTAGATAGAGAGAATCTTATTAGCAAAGTCATATTTTCTATTTACCCATCCAGTTCATCTAACCCTATTGCTAATCCAAAGAGCTATGCATCTAGACTCATTCTTGATCTTAAAGCAATTTATCCGACTTTTATCAGTTTTGCCAAGTGGAGTATAGGGTCGGGTGACTCCTGCAAGTTTTGGATGGACAGGTGGGCAGGAAACAACTCTCTCAGCAGCTTATTCCCCAAAGCTTTCAAATTGGCTTTCTCACAATCCAGCCCTGTTAGCTCCCAAGGACTATGGCAGAATAACATATGGAGATGGAACCCTATTTTGAGGAGAGGCATCTCGATGGAAGATAAAAAAGACATATCAGACCTCTTAACCCTTATTGATCAAATCAGGCCTACATCAAACAAATTTGATTCCATATTCTGGCCATCCAATCCCTCACTCTCTTTCACGGTGAAATCTCTATATGGCATCCTTATCAAAGGAGGTTTATTATCCCCTTTTCACAACTTTATTTGGAGATCCCCTATTCCTCTTAAGGTAAAAACCTTCCTCTGGATCCTTAATAAAAAGAAACTCCAAACTAAGGACAATCTAATCAAAAAAGGATGGATGGGTGATTCAACATGCCCCCTCTGTAGCCAGACAATGGAAACGCATGACCACTTGTTCATCACATGCCAGTTCACTCAAGCTGTATGGTCCTCATTGCTTCCTTCTTCTTCTTCCAGCCTATGGCCTCAGGAGGTGACTAGTTTGATCAATGGAAAAGAAGATTTCTTGGTTAGCCAGCATCAAAAAGCTATATGGAAGATTTTGTTCCCTTGCACCTGCTGGTGTATTTGGAGCAGTCGTAACAACCTTATTTTCAACAATAATCCATCTTTGTTCCCTTGCACCTGCTGGTGTATTTGGAGCAGTCGTAACAACCTTATTTTCAACAATAATCCATCTTTCCCCTCCTCTATTGCTGCAAATTCTTCCCGTTTTGTTCTTTTCTGGACAGGGACATCTAAAAGCAAAAAATCTCAGCGAATGTATGATGCGGCTATTAAAGCTGGTTTGTCAGAGATAGCAAAATCTTCAGGGAACGAAGGGTTTGAAGATAACTTCTTCTAAGGAGATGAGTTCCCAGTTCTCTATCTTCTTTTGATTTTGGATCATGTAGTACTCAGCTCTTCCTGAGATAGTTCTATTCAGGAGGAACATGTTGTGGATCTGTATTTGTATATAGTAGTAGTATGGCAGCTGAAGTATGTTTTTTAAGTTTTTTTTCCTGGATTTCGGATGGTTTGGAAGCTCGATAGCTGTAGACTGGAAGATGACGACAAAGGTCCGCTCTCCTCCGTCTACATCTATTGTGCTTCCTCCCCTATCCATTTTGTTAATTCAGGTTTATTTTGTAAATACTGGTGATATATAATATTTTTATGAACAGGGCAGTTCGCCCTGTTTTTGGCTTCAAAAAAAAAACAAGTCTATTATCACTCACCGTTGTTTGGTGTCTAACTCCACCCACTTCATATTTTTTATGGACATGAAACTTACCATCCAAGAGGGCATCTACTATCAAGGATTTGGTGGATAAGACAGGGATTGCTGAGTTGATGTTGCCTGATGAGTCATCTTTGACATATTTAGCCGCTGTTGCCCACAACTTTTATGGCCGCCCTCTGGTATTTTAATCTTTTGATACAGTTATACTTTAGTTCGATGTAATTATCCTTTGCTTACACTCTGGTATTACTTTTGGATTTTGTTGTAAGTGAGAGCTCTATAACTCTGTATTCTTTTTGCCTAGCTTTTTTCTAGATTGGTTTAGTTTTTGGATTCGTTTTGATGAAACATCTATGACTCATGCAATAGGTGATGGTTATGGTCCTCTCTCTATCTTAGGTATGAACTGTTTGATCATTACCACTCCTGGACTATTCACCTCTAGACTTAGCTAGTGTGTTTATATCATATTTAAATAGGGCAATTCACCCTATTTTTATCTTCTACAAAAGAAAAAAACTCGGCAATGGTGTTTCTTTGTCTGTATTGGACTTGACCAAGAGCAGCTGCACTTCAGTGGAGATTTATTGGATTGATGATAACATGATCTAATTGGATAAAAGCCCTGATATGATTTGGTTTTTTAGTAGTTTTTTATTTTGATTCTATTGGATATGGAAAGTACAACATCAATTGGAATACATTAGTTACTTAGACTTCTATTTCCTTGAGTGATTAGCTATTGGGCCTTAAAAGCCTATATATGAACAGGTCTTGCAACCGATGAGAATCATTATTTTGGCACCAATTATGAACAAAGAACATGGTTCTCCTTTTTGAAGCCTTTTAAGTATTGATTTAGCTCTCTATTTTGTTTCTTATTTGAGAGTGTTGTACTAGGTTTTTGGGGGTGTATTAGGGATTGAGTGATTAAGAGATCTTCACATTGTATTCCTCATAATTATTAGTAAAGCTATTCTCCTCCTTCGCCCGTGGACGGAGGCGATAGACCAAACCATGTATATCCGCGTGTTAGTGTTCTTGATATTTTTTTATACTTTTTTGTGATTGATATTAGTTTATCCTGGGAATTTGTCATAATAGTTATGATGACGGATAAGAATATTGTAACTAGAGCTCAAATTTTGTATTCTTTCATTTGATATGATTTTGTAACTTAGGATATTGTTCCTGAGTCATTGCTGTACACAGACTTTCATATTTGGGAAATCAAATAAAATTGTCATTTACCCCTAAAAAATCAGTTGGACTTAGAACTGTTTTCATGAAAGTAGTTACCCTATTGTTTTTTTAATAATGAAAAGGATATATGTAGGTAGCTGTGGAAATGGTTTGGATATGGCTCGGATATAATACTTACCATATTCATATACTCCTGTCATTCACGGATACAGATATGGATACAAATATGTCTTGGTAAAAAAAAACCATGTCCATATTTGTTAAAATCAGATACGAGTACATAGATATACAATGCAGATACAAAACGAATATACTAAAAAAAGATAATACAGAAAAATATAGTTCATATGGTACAAGAGAGTTCATTAGTATGTTTGTTATATCTGAAAAGCGGGGATTGGAACTCTTAGTCATTAGAACTAATCTCAAATTCACTAATCTAAAGGATGAAACAATTGTAGCTCTATTGTCTATATATATTCGGATATTTCGGATAGGATCTAGATATTTCACTACAGAACCATATCCGTGAATGACAGGAGGATATGAATATGGATATTTTCTCAGATACAGATACGGTTTACCACCCCTATATATGGGGCAAATGCATTCATGATCATTATGATGAGGTGACTATTGCTAACAGTTAGAGGTATGGCGGACATGGGCCATGTATATACATTGTGATAATGAAGATAAATGATTTAGGATGTGCTCATTTATTTCAAATATATATTTTCTGATGTTTAGTGATCCCACAAGATGGTGTTCCCAGCCAATTAAAGAGCTGCAAAGCCCAACATCTTAGAGACCATCGGTGATGGATAAATTAAAATTCGGCTATCTGCTACTCAACTATTTGTCTTCGTCCGTTGTTGATGTGATGCTACTCTGGACTCCTCATGACTTTGTTTTGTACACGAGCTGTAGTATCTCGATCTTAAAATCTTTTGTAGGTGACTTTGTTCTCATTGTTTCAGATATTATTGTTAAAGACATGGCATTTTTCTTTTTAGCTAAAGTCGTTCTAGCAAAAGCTAAGCCCTGGCCCTTCACAAACCTGCCATGGTCGCAGGAACTGTCATGTCACAAACATGTCAACATGTTACAAATGAATGTGTGGACTCGATTGGGTTGTGAAGACAAAACCAAACTCAATTCAATGTCCACTTGATTTCTCTAGATCTAAAGACATATGCTGCATTGTCCATTTCTTCAACCTAACTTTCACTTGATCACCTCCGCAGACTCCATGAAGTATTTGACTATTTGTTCTAACGGTAGAAAATGATGCAACTCTGACTTATATAGAGCTGATAAAAGTTTATCAAAACTTCAAAGTTGTAGTGAAAGTTGAAAGTTATAATTTTATATTCTAATAAGCTCCTACAGATTGCAAGAGCATCCATTTATATGCAAAAATTTGAACTCACACAATAGTATTGTTATGTTTTTAAAATCTGCTTTCAGCTGATGCATATAGAGCCAGAGTTCTTAACCAAGCAAACGAGATCTTGATTTCCTCTGTGTGAGTGAAGATTTTGTTTTTTCTTTGTTTCTTGAGATATATGATTTCATGTTCTCTTTTGAGAGACTGTTTTGTTAGTTGTCAGGCCTTTTTTTTTTTTGGTCAATGAACTGTGAATTTTATTCATCTCCCAAAATTGAACATATAAGGTCAAAACAAAGCTCCAGAAGCCTGGAGAACAAATGAAAAATTACAAACTTTTTTTTTTTTTTTGGGTCAATGAAAGTTAACTTTATTCATCAACACTTGAAAGAATGTAAGTACATCATAGTATCCAGCTATATTTCGCTGGAAAACCAAACTAATTACAACTTTGTACTTCCTCTAACTACTATCAAACAAGATTCAATGTATCATCATTCAAAATTTTAGTAAAAACAGTAAACTTAATTAGTCTGAAAAGAGTAACTGGATCACGGGATTTTCCTTGAAAAGCTCTTAGATTTCTCTCCTGCCACACTAAGTAAACTGTGACTGCAAGTACCATCCTCTTGAGCTTCTTCTTAAAGCCTTTGCCCCTCAGATTGTTGTTGTACCAATCAAACAGATGCAACCAGTTACAGGACCTCCAGGAAAAGTTCATCCAATCCATTACATTATTCCAGACCTGAGCTGAATAAGGGCAATCGAAGAAAAGATGTTGACATGTTTCCTCAGCTTGGTGATGACCAGGACATAGAACACATTGATTTGAGGTTATAATATTCATTTTACATAACCTATCCTGAGTTAGTAATCTGGACTGAGAGGCAAGCCAGAGCACAAAAGAGTGTTTCGGGTAGTTTAGTCTCTCCCAGACAGTATTAAACCAAGGAACAGGAGGGGAAAAGCTAATCAGAGCTTTATAAACAGAGGAGATAAGGAATTTACCCCCACTATGGCAGTTGTTAATGGTATTTATAAGATTGTTTGCACTTCCAAATTTGCTTACTGCCATGTCTCTGATTTTCAAAAGTCTCCTCCACAACCATGAGTCCGATGCTTTAGATTGAATATGCCAGATATCAGTTTGATGCACATAATTTTCATGAATCCATTTTATCCAAAGCATGTCTTTTTTCTGATGGATCATCCAAAGCAATTTTATAGCAACTGCATGATTCCAGGATTTAGGTGAATATAGGCCCAGTCCCCCCTGTTCTTTCCCTCGACATATACTTTCCCAAGATACTAGATGAATTTTGTTATTCCATAGAAAATCAGAGCACATTCTATCAATTTTCTCCAGCACCTTGACCGGCAAGATATAGTTACTGGTCCAAAAGATTTGGATACCCATGATAACTGATTTGATTAGCTGAATTCTTCCTGCATAAGAGAGGCATTTCTTTTTCTGCCAGTGAAGAAATTGCTCACTGATTTTACTTAGTAGAGGAGAGCAATCAAGGTAGGATAATCTCTTAGAAATGAGTGGCAATCCAAGATAATGAATTGGTAACATCCCCTCAGGAAAATTCAGCAAGGAGCAGACTTGATTTTTCAGACCATCATCAACTCCACTAAAGTATATTGAGCATTTAGCAGGATTTGCCTCTAAACCAGACACTCTGCTGAACTCTTTGAGGCAATAGAACAGTTTCATAATTGAGTATCCATCAGCTTTAGCAAAGAGAAGAAGATCATCTGCGAATATCAGGTGAGTAATCCCAAGACTTTGACACTTAGGATGATATTTGAAGAGGTTATCATTTCTAAGGGCATTTAAACTTCTTGATAGATATTCCATCCCTAAGACAAACAAGTAAGGAGAAAGAGGATCCCCTTGTCTTAGACCTCTCTTACCTTTAAAATATCCATGCAGAGATCCATTTAGAGCAAGAGAGTATTTAGGAGTTGATATGCATTCCATAACCCAATTAATCATGATACTGGGAAAGTTTAAACCCTACAATATGGCTCTGATGAAATCCCAGCTGATAGAATCGAATGCCTTCCTCAGATCCACATTTAACATAGCTCTTGGAGAGGTATGCTTTCTGCCATAGTTTTTCATTAGTTCATGAGCTAGAAGAATATTACTAGAGATGAGTCTCCCCTTGATAAATGCACTTCGTGCATCACTAATGAGATAGCCCATGACACTTTGCACTCTCCCAGCTAGAATTTTTGAAATGACTTTATATATCAGATTGCAACAAGAGATGGGTCGAAAATCTGCAGCAGTTCTTGGATTAAGAGTTTTGGGAATTAAAGTAATTGTAGTAGAATTAAAAGTGCCAAGAAGCTTTCCTTTGTTGAAGAATTCCTCAACAGCTAGATATAAATCCTCATTGATAATGTCCCAAGCTGACTTGAAAAAAGCAGCATTAAAACCATCCGGTCCTGGAGCTTTTGTATCAGACATAGAGAACACAGCTTTTTTGATTTCCTCTCTGCTGACAGGAGTACTGAGCTTTGAGCTTTGAACTGGAGTTAGAGTAGACCCATTTGAGATAATATCCATATCAGGTTTAGAAACACTTGTAGCAGTTCCCAAGATCCTTTTGTAATATTCAGTAAACTCCTCAATGATGTCCTGCATCTCAGTAATTCTATTTCCCTCTTCAGTATATATTGACAGAACCATGTTATGATGCCTCTTGTTTTTCATGACAGAATGAAAGAATTGGGTACATTTGTCACCATGTAAGCTCCACGAAATATTTGCTTTTTGCTTGTAGAAAGAATTTTCACAATTCAGTAATCTGATATATTTTTTGATACCTTCTTTTTCCTTAGCAATCAGGTTGGAATTGAGAAGATCATCAGCCAACTGTTTCTGGATATCAGACAATTCATTTTTGGCTCTGATAACTTGCTCATTGATGCACATAAAATGCTTCTTGTTAAGCTCTTTGAGAACAGGCTTTAATGCCTTAAGCTTAGCATGGAATTTGTACATGTTATATCCTCTAATACTTTGTTCCCAGACAGTTTTGACAGCTGGAAGAAAATTAGGATGCCTGATCCACATATTAAAGAATCTAAAAGGCTTTTTCCCATCAAATTTATCCTCACCAATAGTAATCAGAGCAGGTGAATGATCAGAACAACTTGGCACTAAGAACTCAACTTGACTGGAAGTGTATTGATGAATCCAATCTTCATTTACCAGGATTCTGTCAAGCCTGGACCAGATTTTATCTTGAGCATTTTGTTTGTTTGACCAGGTATAAAAATTACCAATTGATTTGAGATGAACCAATTTACTAGAGTTAATGAAATTTTGGAAGTCAATGGTATCTGAATCTGAAACTGGAGAACCTCCCAATTTCTCTTCATTATTCAAAATAGTGTTGAAATCACCACCAACTAACCAGGGGCAATTCTGATTGAAATTCAGTAATTCTTGCCAAAGGATATTCCTATCATTTCTTTGATTTAAAGCATACACTACTGTGATTATGCAAGAAAGCATACCATCCCTTGAGGCAACTGTGCATGTGATGTGTTGATTGGAGGAGAACAGAACTTGAACTGATAGTATTTCATTGTCCCATAGAATCCATATCCTTCCATTTCTTGCTTCAGGAATATTTGAAATCCACTCCCAGTTCTTAGCTACTTTCTTAGCAATGAATTGCAATTTGTTTTCTTCAACTTTGGTCTCCAGGAGAGCTAGAAAAGAGAGCCTGTATTCATTAATAAAATGCTTTACTAACAAGTGTTTAGAGGATTTGTTAAATCCTCTTATATTCCAAATTGCCAGATTCATTAATTTGAATAATCCCCTTTATCAATCCAAGAGGGATCAAAGTCTAATTGTTGTTCCAGTATGGTAAATGGGGAGTTTTGAATGCAATTCACAACATTAGTGTCATTGGTTCTTTTTCCTGATTTTGATCTGGTAACACTTGTGAAACCAGATGAATTCACAACAAGTGAGGAGTTTGCAGTACTGCTGTTTCCTGCAAATTTATGTGCATGCTTCATGACATTTCTACCTGAAAGTCCAAAGAGTATACCCCTATCTGATTTGAGAGTACTTCCAACATCATATTTATTGGTATTCTCCCCCTGTGCATGTTTTTCGGATACTTGCCCAGAATTAACTCCCTGTGCATGTTTTGCAGACAATTGCCCAGAATTAACCCCCTGTGCATGTTTTGCAGACAATTGCTCAGATTGATCAAAATGAACAAAGTTATGATGAGCATAACCACCAGATAGATTGATTTGTGGGTTATCTCCAAGCTGACCAGAACTGTCACCTAATTCAATACTGCTTGTAGGAATATACAGTTCAGAATTAGAAACCTGCACAGGAGGTCTGTTGACAGGAATCCATATCTTTTTAAATTTTTGTCTTCTACAAAACTCAGCTTCATGACCAACCAAGCAACAGTAAGAACACCATTTTGGCTTAAGTTCATATATAACCTTTTGATTATAACTTTTTCCATCTGGCCCTTGCACTTCAATAGAATCAGGAAAATTCTTTTCCAGGGGAAGATCAACTTCAAGAAGTACCCTTGCATAACTCAATCTTTCTCTTGTAGCACAAATTCTTTTCCAGGGGAAGATCAACTTCAAGAAGTACCCTTGCATAACTCAATCTTTCTCTTGTAGCAGTGAGTTTATCTGTTGTGATTGGCAACTTCAAGAAGTACCCTTGCATAACTCAATCTTTCTCTTGTAGCAGTGAGTTTATCTGTTGTGATTGGTCTTCCAATTACACTTGCAATTTTACTCAGTCCATTTGAAGTCCACAAGTTTAACTTCAGGTTTGGAAACTGAACCCACATTGGGTAGTTATTAGCTTGAAATCTATCCACATCAGTTTCAATAGTCCAAGGCTTAAGAACCATAGGTCTGGATCCAAAAAACCAAGGACCTGCTTCCAACACATCTTGCATTTGTTTAATAGATTGAAAATCAAACAGGAAGACCCCTTGTTTTATTAGATGAACTCTTGGAATAGAGATGCTTCCCCAAATCTTATTCACATAAGTTTCCATAGCTTTAAACTTCACATTTAAGCCAATAACATATCCAATTAAAGCATGCTTCCAGAGATCCTCACCTTCCTTCCACTCTTCAGTTGAGAATTTGACAGAATTGTTTTGAGAAGATTGAATAAAATTCAAAGAAAGGCCATTTCCAGATTTCCGATTATCAGCAAAAAGACTGGCAAAGGATTTCTTGATCACTGCAGTGCCATTTTCATTCTTTGTATCTTCATCTTGAGCTAATTTCTCAGATTCATCAGAGATTTCATCAATATGAGAGTATTTTACACAATCATCAATCATAACATCAGAATGAACTTTTGATGAATTAAGATCAGAAATCTTAGCCGCAGAAATCAGATCAGACTCAGGTTCATGTTGATTGAGGACAGAGTTCTTAGCTAAAACAGAATCATGAATCAAATTCATTTCAGAATCAAGATGAACACTGGAATTCTTGACAATTTCAGATACAGGAATCAAATCAGATTCAGATCCAGAGTCATCCGCCCATGAGATAGGAGACTTACTCAGATTTCTTGCAATCACATTACAAGATCTCACCGGAGAAGACTCCATCACAGGCTTAGATCTGGCAAGAACATCATAGATTGGCAATTTCTTCTTTGCTCCTTTCGGCCCTGAGCTTTCCATTTCTATGCCTTTTGAGAAGATTGCAGTTGAATCTGATCCTTCCCTAGCTTTAGATGATGAAGGGAATTCAAAAAGAGAATCTCTCAGCTCACTATTGATGATCCCTCTACTAGATTTCTTCTTCTTCCTCATGTAGAAACAAGGCGGGGGCGCACGATAGCAAGGAAAAATTCGCCTGCTAACATGCACCTACAGAGTCCCGCCACTTTTTTACGATAGCTAGGGGGAAAACACTTTAGCATCACATTCAAACCATAATTTCACCCCGAGGTTATCTGATACTTGCAAGAACAAAATTACAAACTTTCAAGTAGCTCTATCATATGTACATGTGAACTATCATTTAGAATTTTACAAAAAATCGAAAGCTTTATATCTCTGAAAACTTGAGCAGGTAGCTTCTTCTTGTCCTGAAAAATTCTTAGATTTCTCTCCCTCCAAATCATGTAAACAGCAGCAGATAAGCACATCCTTTTCAGCTTCTTCATGGGGCTTTTTCCTTTCAATTTATGAGAGTACCAGTACAATAACAAGTCCCATGTGCAGGACCTCCATTTATATCCCAACCAGGTCATCACCAAGTTTCATACTTCCCCTGAATATTGACATTCAAAAAAGATGTGATCTCTAGTCTCTAACTGGTGACTGTCACACAGCACACAGTGGAGTTGATTCGTGCTTAAAATGTTCATTCTGCACAGTCTATCCTTTGTAAGAAGTTTAGAGTGACAAGCTAGCCAAAGCACAAAGGAGTGCTTAGGGAATAGAAAGCCATCCCAAACTGTTTTAGCCCAAGCAACTGAATTAGCAGGTTGTATGAGAGCTCTGTAAACTGCAGATAAGAGAAGCTTGCCATCAGAGCAACAATCTGCTATTTTAGCAGTAACAGCATTCCCAAATTTACTCACAAGCATATCCCTCATTTTAAGGAGTTGCCTCCACATCCATGAGTCATTTGTCTTGGGTTGAACAGTCCAAATATTTTGATTTTGAAGATAGTTACCATGTACCCACTTGATCCATAGGAGATCCTTTTTTAATATGAATCAACCACAAAAGCTTAGTGGCAGCTGCATAGTTCGAGTACTTAGCTGAGAAAATGCCCAGTCCCCCATATTTTTTGCCTTGACAAACAGAACCCCAGTTTACTAAGTGAAATTTGTGTCCCCATAGAAAGGCAGAGCACAAACTATCTATCTTTTCCAAAGCTTTGATTGGGAGGATGTAATTGCTTAGCCAATATGTTTGGATGCCCAAAATAACAGACTTAATCAGTTCAAGTCTTCCAGCATAGGTCAGGCATTTGTTTTGTTGCCAGGTTTGAAACTGATTGTAAATTTTACCAATAAGACTAGAACAATCAGTGTATGAGAGTCTTTTAGCAGTCAGGGGTAGGCCCAAGTATTTCATAGGCAGAACTCCTTCAGGGAATTTGAGGTGATTGCATATCTGATCTTTGAGATAATCAGATACACCACTCAGGTACACAGCACATTTGTTTGAGTTGGCTTCCAGACCAGAAACATGTCCAAATTCTTGAAGGCAAGTGAAGATTTTAGCAATAGAACTCATGTCAGCCTTACATAACAGCAACAAATCGTCAGCAAAGACCAGATGGTTAATCTTCAACCTAGAGCACTTTGGATGATATTTGAAAGATGAATCATCCTGAAGAGAGTTGAGTTTCCTGGAAAGATATTCCATCCCTATAACAAACAGATAGGGGGAGAGAGGATCCCCTTGCCTCAAGCCTCTTGCACCATGAAAATAACCATGTAGACCACCATTCAAAGCTAAAGAAAATTTAGGGGTAGATATGCATTCCATGATCCAGCAGACCATATTGTTGGGAAAGTTCAAACCAATCAACATACTCCTTATGAAATCCCAATCAATGGTGTCAAAAGCCTTCCTCAGGTCAACATTTAAGCTCTAGGGGAATTATTTTTCCTCCCATAGTGCTTGAATAACTCATGTGCAAGTAAAAAATTACTTGAAATAAGTCTCCCACTTACAAAAGCACATTGTGCATCATTGACAAGATAACCCATAAATTTCTTAACCCAGTTGTCAGGCCTTTATGTTATTGGAAGCCTAATCTAGTGTGTACAGGATGTCCTAGCTTTATTTTAGATTGTAATAAAAATTATTTCTTACTTTGTAAGCCAAAAAATAAAATAAAATAAAATAAAAATCTACTTTAAATTTGTGCCCAGTGGGAATTGTACTTGAACATGTTGCTTCAATACCATTTGAAGGATCCTGATACTGTGTTGCGCTCCAAAGTTGTGGTAAGTGCTAAGGGTTAAAATTTTATTTCATAACAGAATCATATATCTAATAGAAAATTGGAAAATATAATTCTTGAAAAAGATAAGAATTCTTTGATATTTTATTAGAATTAATGTCTAGAATTATTCTGCAGAAGTATTTCGGGTCAGCTAATATTAATGATTGAGATCTATTTGTGAAATCCCTAATTGAAACATGAACCTATTTGTGATTCCTAGTTCAGCCAAGATTCTACTTAATTTAGGTTCTTAGCTGAATTAGAATTCAATGTATCTATACATAAATCAAAACAGAGAGAAAATGTGTTGTTCTTAAATTTCTTTTTTCTTCACATAGGAATGCTATTTCCTGCTACCAACCAAGATATTATATATCAATGCTTGGTATATACTGTCACAAAATGTAAGTTTTTATTTTTACTACAGCTCTTTTTTAATGTAATGGGCATTGCCAAAATGGATAGGACTCTCTTTACATACGGATATGATGCTGTTAAGTACATATATAGAAGTTGTTCATTAACACCAATATCTGACACCAACTACATGCTTAATGTGGCTGTAGCATAGCTTTAGATAGAGAACGTTGATGCTTCAAATATAGGAAACACCATGTTAGCCATAACAGCGGTGATCATTCTCCAATCGACGATCAAAAGAAAAGAAATAAAACGTGTCCCTCTGTAAACTTTCAGATACCTGCCACCGAGCTTTTATATTTTTCATGAGCATATATATATATATATATTCTATATATTATATATATATATATATATATATATATATAATTATTATATATATATATATATATGAATATTTCGAATGAAAGGAACTTTTTACATGGCTCGACGGAGGATCAAACAATGAATGGAGTTCTATCACAACTTGATGTATTTGGGGTTTTAGAATATGTAGATCAAATTCAATGGAACGCGGGATCATCATAATGTAGGGCTCATATGTGATTTTAGGCCGGTCCTTAGATTGATTATCTAAGCACTCACTTTAGGAATTTTTCCCAATATATATATATTATATATATATATATATATATATATATATATATATATATATATATCTATATATTATATAGATATGAGAGAGAGAGAGAGAGAGAAATGTGTATCTTGTACCACGCAAAGCTTTTGTGTTTGGTAGTGGGTGACATATTCCCCTCCGTTCATTGAAATCGAAGCGCCACATTCAATAGGTTGGGAGTGGTTTGATAAATTGAAATGAGTGGATGAGAATATGACATCTCTTTACAAAGCATAAAATTTATCTTGTACCCAAACATAATCCTTTTTTCATATATATATATATATATATTATATACTATATATATATATATATATATATTATACGAGAGGAGAGAGGGAGCGAAATGTGTATGCTTTGGTACGAGCAAGCTTTTGTTTTGGTAGTGAGGTGACATATTCCCTCCCTCTTGATCGAAGCTCAACAATTCACATAGGTTGGGGAGTGGTTGATAATTGAAATGAGTGTGAGAATAAGACATACTTATTTACAAATGCATAAATTTATGCTTGGTACCAAACTACCCATTTTTCTCAATTTTATATAGTATATAATATTATATATTATATATATATATATATATATATATATCATTATATATTATATATATATATATATATATTATATATCTACTATATATCTATATTATATATATATTTATATCTATATATTAACTTTTTAGTTGGAGAAGCAAACAACAAGGCATAAAGGAAGCATGATATATATTAACTTCTATTGGGAAAATAAACTTGATTAACAATATATCAACCTTAGGAATTCCAACTAACGTAAGAATTGCACATCAATTTTCCAATCTTTGACGAAAATTAACATTGTAGTTGGAGAGGCAAACAAAAAAAACATGAAAAAGAAAGCTACATAGATTGGAAGAAGCAAAACATGTGGATTTTATTACGTCCATGTTCCTCGAAGCTGTTCTCTGGCCAGTATTTAGTTCTTTTTATTCTTTTTTTAACACATTAATTTATACATGGACTCGTAAACTTGATCCTACAGTTCAACATGCTTTTTCCAAAAAAAAAACTAGTTCATTAAAATCAGGACAAAAATTAGGTTTTTTTTGGACTTATCATATTTACTTATTTTCACTCAGCCAGATTTTCCAAGTTTCTCCTAATAAATTTATCCCACACATATAATTTCATGATATATAAGTCTACACCCGTACACACTTAGATGTCTATTATCCTATCACCAAACAATCATTAGCTACTTTTCTCCCTTTTTTTCGACACTATGTCCTCAACTAGTTATCAGCTAGTAATTAGCTGCATCACGTAAAAAAAAGATTAATTAAATATATAGAAGAAGAAACGTTCACAGAAATTAAGAAAAGAAAAGAAAAGAAAATGGCAGAATAGGTTGTTTCAAAGTTGAAAGAGATGGTCTCAAATAAGCTTCACGCTTCGTGGAAAAGGCAACACACATACAAACCCCTTTCCATTGCCTCTCTTTACCCAACAAGAGAAAAAGAAAAGAAAAAGAGCTTTGAGAGAGAGAGAGAGAGAGAGAGAGAGGAGAGCATGAAACCCTAGTTTGGAAAACAACAAATGAAGCTGCCAACAGTAATTCCTCCCATCAAGTCTCTACATAAATTACAACAACAAAGACATGCCATGCAACTTGATGCGATTAGATGAAAGAAGAGAGATAATTATGCCCTAATTAACACTAGTAGCAAGATTAAGATCAAAGAAGGAAAGAACCCTAGAATTCGCTCAAGAAGTAGATTGTTCTAATCAATAAGGAGTGACCCCTTGCATATTTGCTGCTGCAGTATAGAATCCGTCTTTGAGAAGAACATCATCTCCTTCCTACAAAAATATATAATAAAAAATATTATAAAAAGGAGAAAAAAAACCTAAATTGACTTGAAAAACTAGCTAGGGTTCTGATTTCTCATTACAGTTTTTTTCTTCTTCTTTTCATGTGTTTATATCCATTTGATCGATGCGAGTATTACCTGCTGGCGAACGTTGTTCTTCTTCAAGCTTTGATCAGGCATGAGACCGAAATGGATATGAGGGAAGTGAGCCCACTGGATCAGAAGAAAATATAACAATCAAAATATTCATAAACAAGACATCCAAGAGTGAAATAGGGCTTGATCGATTTACATTCTTTGCAGCGGCACTAAAGGCCTCTCTGTGAGTGATATCAGGGTTCCCAGCCTTAATGCGCTGGATTTCGTCCCTGCAATTTTTCATCCATCACTTTGATTATTTTCTTAGAATCCGTGTGAAATCAAATTTGATTGTTGTCGTCGTTATATTTTAGCAATTACTCACTTGATGAAGCGATTGTAGGCCGACGGAACTCTCTGCCTCTTCTCTGGAGCTAAAACCAAACAAAAAAAAAATTAATAAATGCAATTAGTGTTTTGCGCATCAGTGGATTACTTGGTGTAGTGTGGATCTCGGACAAGCTTGCAGGTCTCTCTCTCTATCTAGAAAGAAGTGGGAGGTGCAAGTACTACTGTTTGCCACAGTAAAAAAAACCAGTGAGAGAGAGAGAGAGAGAGAGAGAGAGAGAGAGAGAGAGGGTCAATGAAGCTTAGATGCCGAGAGAGAGAGAGAGAGAGAGAGAGAGAGAGAGAGAGAGAGAGAGAGAGGGTCAATGAAGCTTAGATGCCGGGATC